TGGACATAAATACAGCACCAACCTATAGGTGCCTACCACAATGCCTGGCTAGTTTTTCTATTTCTAGTAGAGATGGGTCTGGCTCTTGCTCAGGCTGGTTTTGAACTCCTAAGCTCAAGAAATCCACCTGTCTCGGCCTCCCAGAGTGCTAAGATTACAGGCATGAGCCATGGTGCCTGGCCTCAGCAGCCTTTTATAAAAGAAAACATTTATGAAACTTTCCCACACCATAAAAACGGGGCTGGCACTGGCCCATCACTCACACTGGTAGTACTCGGCCCGGCCACTCTGCAGCACGATGGCCAGCACCAGGGTGAGCTGTGGCGTCGTCTCCAAGAAGGTCTCAAAGAGCCGCAACATGCTGATGTCCAGGGAGAGGAAGTCGGCGTAGGCCAAGTCAAACTCAGAGGGTGCTTCCTGCCGCCACACAAGCAGCCCCTGCTGTAGCCCCTGCATGCACCTAGCAAAGTGCACAGGATGCCCAGAGGGCCAGGTTAGTGTCCTGTGAATCCCTCAGTCTCCCACCCATCTGGCAGGGGCAGGCAGGCTCCAACCCTAACCTGTCACTTCCATGCTAAAAGGGCTGAGGCAGGTGACTTAACCTTATTGAACTCATTTCCCCAGCTGTAGGCTGGAGATAGATATAGCCAAGCACTGACCCAAGCTCATCATAAACTCTGTCCTGTTGACTCCTCATGGGTGCCCCATTTAGCAGATGGGGAAACGGGATCAAGCAGCCAGTGAGTGATAGAATCAGGATTTGGACCCAAAACTGGATTCTGAAGGCATACCAGGAAGATGCCCGAGACAGCAGTTTCCAACTTTTAGTATGACACAGAGAACTCCAGCTGAGAGCTCATCTAGCCCTACCTCCTGACACAGGTGAAGAAACTGAGGCCCAAAGAAGGGGAGGCCCATAGGATTTGGGACCAGGCTTCTCTGGGATTCAATCTGGCTTTACCACCTGTGACGGCATTTCTGCATTTCTCAGAGCCTGTTTTCTCCTCTATAAAAAGCAGGGGCTGGGTGGCACCTGTGGCTCAAAGGAGTAGGGCACTGGCCCCATATGCTGAGGTGGCAGGTTCAAACCCAGCCCCGGCCAAAAACTGCCAAAAAAAAAAAAAAAAAAAGTAGGGGCTCATCTACACAGGTGTGACGGGCAAGCCCACTGTGGGGAGAGAGTAAAGAGAAATTCCTCCGCGTAGAGGAACTTTAGACAAGTCACTGACTTCCCCAGACTCAGTTTACTCATTGTTCCAGAGTGATGGGGATAGTGCCTACTTGAGTTTTGTGAGGGTTAAATGAAATCAACACCTGTAAGTTGCCCTGGCTTGTAGTAAGCATTCAACAAACCACCGTTCAGTTCAGGATTACCTGAGCACTCTGAGAGTTTCAGCAGCCCTCAACCTCCAGCAGTACTTGTATCCTCTAGGGGGGCAACGCTCACCCAGCCACATTGTTCTCCCTGAACGTCTGCTCCCCACCCCGAGGCCAAGCAGGAGGGCAGAGATGGGGGCTAAAGATGGGTGGTGGTTCATCTATGCCCCTGGAGACAGCCTGGGCTGGCTGGGCATAGGCTGCATCTTGGAAAATGAGTGTGGACTGCACTCATCTCAACTGGCAAAGCCCCGTGGAAACTGAAACCAAGGGGTCAGAGTCATGAGATGAAGTTGAGACACTGGGTGATCTGGGTTGGATAGCGTCTCCATCCTCTTTCAAATTCATTTACAAATTCTCTCCAGATCATCTTGACAAAACCGTGTGGGGAGTGGGGAAGCAGAGTTTTGTTTTTTGTTTGGGCTCCATCGTGTTATTGCCTCTGAAGACCTCCCGGTGGGACAAGGGGAGCAGAGTTTTGAATGTTATAGTTTTGCTTGAGGATCAGGGCACGGAGGGGCACTGTTATGAGAGTCCTGGGCAGGCTTTGAGGAGCCTTGAATCCCTAACTACCTCCTGCATCTTCCCTTCCCCTATTTCTGCTGAGCTGGGTTTTAAAAACAGGATCTCTGTTCCTGCCTGTGACTAGGCTGCAATAGAGCCCCTGACAAGACATTGGGGAACCAGAAGCAAAGGCTCCTGTTCAGGGGGAGCCGAATCGGCCCTGCCTGCGGGTAGCTTGTGCTCAAGTCTGTTCCCGGGAAGTGACAGTAAGCATCTTCGGAATTACTTTGCAGTGAGTGAGTAGCTTATCTTCCAACTAACAGCCAGCTGAGCAGAGTTCTTGGTCCTCGGTGCCTCTCCCCCATCAAGCAAATGGGCCCCCCAGGCCTGTCTCTCTCCCCTGTAGGTGAGGTGTCCACAGGAACTTAGTTTTCCTTCCCTGCGTTCCGGTCCTCTCCTCTACCCTCTGCCCGACGTCAGGCGTCTAGTCGGTACAGGTGGCCCAGCTGCCGGAGTTGCCCGGCTCTCTTCCCCCTCCGCCTGCCCGCGGGGCGCTCACCTGTAGAGGTAGCCCAGCTGCAGGAGATGCAGCAAGGCCAGGCAGCGACCTGAGGGCCGTGGCCGGTGCAAACCGACGGGGTCGGCGCGCAGCCAAATCCAGCTGAAGAGCTGCAGCGCGACCGAAGCGAGGCCCAGCAGCGCCAGCACCAGCGCCGCCCACAGGTAGCTGCCGCTGAGCGCGTACTGGCAGGCAGCCCACAGGTCTGCGCCCAGGTCCAGCAAGAAGGCAGCGGTGCCCAGCACGCCGAGGACCAGGTCCCGAAGGAGGGTTGCGCGGGGCGACCAGGGCATGGCCCGCCTGCCTCTGCCCCACCTTCTCTTCGGCTGCTCCGGCCCGCCCTCGGGGCCCGGGGTCGCAGGGGCGGGAAGGAGGCGGGCGCAGCCCTCGGGGCAGCCTAGGGCCGGAGCTGACTGGGCGGGACTTCCCCGTCCTTCCCCGTTCCGCCCCGTCCCGCCCCGTCCGGGGAGGGGCGAGGCCCGCGGACGTCCCGGGTCTCCCACTCTGGTCCTTCCGCTGCCTCCGCCTACGGCCTTAACCGCGCCGCCAGCCCAAGGATTCCCTGACCCAGCCCTGCTGAGCCCCGAGAGCCGCTGGGCCCGAAGGCCGCGCCCTTGGGGTAGCAGATTTCCCATTGCCAAGGTTTACATTTGAGGCACCTGGAGGCCCAGGAAGGCGATACTGTGCGGAGCGGTCCCTCACGTGTGCGTTGTTGCAGAACAGAACCGTGAAACCACCGAAAGGCCCAGAGTCCGTGCCGGTTGCCTGCTCAGTTCACCCCGGGGATCCGAGTTGGGGAAGGGAGGCGTTCAATAATTCCAAACCACCTACTTTAATCATGTACATATTAAAAGGAAGAGTGAACAAAACAACTTGTACGATGACCTTTGTTGTGTGAGTGAAACATGGAACATGGAAGAAATGTGCGTCTTTGGGGCTTCCTTTCCGGAGAGATCTGGTGGGAAAGCCCAACTGCTCTCGAGAAGGGGATGCTGCGGGTTTTGCCCGGAGGAAGACGACCCTGCAAGGCGCCCAAGGTCATGGCGCCAGGAGCGCGCCCAGGCCCAGCAGGGCCGGCAGCAGCAGCACAAGCCCGTGCGCAGGCGCAGGGCCAGAGGCTGACAGGCAGGCTGCGTAGTCCCGGAAGGCCACGTGGCGCATGGCACACACATGCTCCATGCAGCAAGTCTGGTTGCAGGCCGTGTCATCGTACATGACTGAGTTGTAGAGGTAGTAGCGCTGCAACACGTCCCGGTCGTTGGCGATGAAGTCTAGCACTGTGTGAAGGGAGAGGGCACTTGCGTCCGGCACCCCATAGGCCCAGGTCAGATTGTACTCGGGCTTCCAGTGCGGTGTCCCCTGCTCGTTTGCCAGGCTCAGGTTCATGAAGTAGGTCACCATATCCTGGAGAGGGGGAGAGGGGCAAGCGGTTGTGAGCAGTTGCTGGGTTCTACCTTTAGTCCTTCACCTTGTATTTGCCACCAAATTCTTTATAGCTGTGACAGTGACGCCTACAAAGGGTTTTTAACACCCTACCAGGTGTGCTTGGCAGACATACTCTGAATCTGATAAGGTAACTGAACCTTTTCACAGAACAGGAAATTCAGACCAAAAGAGATTAATTCACTTGGCCAGGGTCATATAGGTGTTTAATGGCAGAAGCAGGTTTGGAACCCGGGATGTTTGACCCAGGCCTATGCATTTTCTGTCCCACCAAGCTCCTGGGCACATAGGAAATGCTCAGGAAGTTTTTGCAGGACGAATGGATGAAAAGCAACTTAAAAAGAGGAGGGTTTAACCTTGAGCAGAGTGTCTGGCAGAGAGGGTATCTGGCTAATTGTGGACCCCAGGGCCCAGTTGCATCTTCAGGACCAGAATCCAAAGGGTTTATCAGTCCAACACTTTCCAGTTAAATTTATGGACCTGCTTCACGTCACTAGAGATGGAAGTAAGAGGAGCTGTCACATAGTGACCACAACTGCAAACCAGATACAGTACATTATTTCATTTAGTCCTCATTAAACTCTTCATTTTACAGATGAAGTGACTAAAAACTCAAAAACCTTGTGCGTGGTGGAGCCAGGTTCAACTTCCTCCCTGAGAATAATGTAGGGCACGTGATGGGGTGGCAGTAGGGGCTCCTCAGTCTACAATTCCTCTTGGTAAGACCCTCTAAGTGCCTGTGTTGACAACAGGCTACACTCTTGAAAATCCTCAGATCTCTGCTTGATCTACATTTACTCCTTAAACTCAAGGAATCTCATCCCTGGCTTTAAATGTCCTCTGTTTGGTCCCAGATTAAATCTCCATACCCATCTCTTCCGGAGCTCCAACTTGACCCTCCCTCACCACTTTTACTTGATGCCATTTAACTATCCCAAAGTCAACAGGTCTAATACCAGACCTCTGACTGGGTATGGTGGCTCACACCTGTAATCCTAGCACTCTGTAAGGGTCAGGAAGGTAGATTGTTTGCACTTGGGAGTCAGGACCAGCCTGAGCAAGAACAAGATCCCATCTCTACTAAAAACAGAAAAATTGGCTGGGTGTAGTGGTGGGCACCTACAGTCCCAGCTACTTGGGAGGCTGATGAACGGTGCTGAGGTTGCTGTGAGCTGGGCTGACACCATGGTATTCTAACCTGGGACAACAGAGTGAGATCCTGTCTCAAAAACAACAACAACAAAGAAACAAACCTCTGATTGTCCCTCTGAAGCGTGATTGTTCCACAGTCACCTTATCTCAGTAATATCAGTAATAACCTCATCCTTTCGCTTGCTCAGGCCAAACCCTTGGAATCCTCGTAGACTCTTGCCTTTCTCTCATACCCCACATCCAACCTACCAACACATCTGCCTTCAGCATATGACAAAGACTCGGCACTTCTCACCAGCCCACTGCTACCAACCCAGCCAAGCCACCATTGTCCCTGTGGCTTTTGTAGCTGCTTCCTAACTGCTCCCTGCACCTGCACTTGCCCTGCCAGCCTGTTCTCTGCACAGCAGGCTTGGTGATTATAAGTCAGACAATTTTCATTCCTCTGTGCAAACCCTCCACATTCAGAGTTTGCATATCATGGCCTTATGATCTGACCTCATTCTTTTCACTCTGCCCGTTAATCCTGGTGTGGTGGCCTGGCCTCCTTGTTCTTTGCCCAACTCTCCAAGCACATTCCCACTCTGGGGCCTTGAACTTGCTCTTCCCTCAGCCTTTCCCAGAACCAGATACCCATATGGCTCACTCACTCAGCTTACCCAGAATTCAAATGTCACCATATCTCTGACACTTTCCTGCCCCACCTATCTCTCACAGCGCACTCCCCCCCCCATAATAACCCCCGTGCTGTCTCCTCCTGTTGTTTTGTTTTTCTCCTTAGCCCTCCTCTCTGTGCCATATGTAAATTTTACTTATTTCTTTATTGTCTCTCTCCTGTAAGAATTTCAGGTCCAGGAAAGTGGTGACTTTGTTTTGTTCACCTTTTGTTCTCCTGAGCTTAGAATAGGGCCTGTGTATGGTAGATGCTTAATGCATTTTGCTGAATAAATGAAGGAATAATTATTTCTTGTCACTTAAACAATTACAAGCACATTCTAGGAGGTGAGGGATTGCTCAATGAGTTGGGGGCCGGAGCTTGTCAGTATATAGGAAAAGGTAGGCAATGGCATGGGACCAGTCTGTGGGAAGCCTTGAATTCCAGGCCAGGAAGACACAACTTTATCCAGAGGGCACTGGGGAGCCACTGAAGGTTTTTGAGCAGGAGAGAGATGAAAACAGTGCTTTAGAAAGATGAAGTGTAGTGTGCACAGATGGGCCACAGCAGGGCAGGGCTGAAGGCAAGAAGATCAGGCAAGAGGCTATGACAGGGATCCAGGGCAAAAGGAGATTTGAGTAAGAAGAATTGACTTGACTTGGTGGCAGATGGCCCCAGGGTTCTAAACCTGAGCTCAAGAAGGGTGAATGTGAGGGGGCGGCCCCTGCGGCTCAGTGAGTAGGGCCCCAGCCCTTTATACTGAGGGGGGCAGGTTTGAACCTGGCCTTAGCCAAATTGCAACAAAAGAATAACCGGGAGTTGTGGCAGGGGCCTGTAGTCCCAGCTACTCAGGAGGCTGAGGCAAGAGAATAGCTTAAGCCCAGGAGCTGGAAGTTGCTGTGAGCTGTAACACCATAGCACTCTACCGAGGGCAGCAAAGTGAGCCCTAAAAAAATAAAAATTGAATTAAAAATAAAAGAAGGGTGAAAATGACTTGACCTTCCTAAGGCTTGGTGGTCAGTGGTGGGTGGGAGAGTTAGGGAAGGCAGTAATATGTTTAAGTCCCTCCCACCCTCCTCCTCCTCTGGCCCTAGCAGGCCCAGGGCTCCTGACCTGCAGGTCCAGTGTGGTTTGGTTGTATTTAAACAGCCGGATGCTTGGATTGTTGGCCCCGTTGTCTACTCCAGGTAACGTGGTTTTCCATGGGCTGACCCCAGGTGTGAGGAAGATGACGCTTATGGGGGTGCCTGTGAGGAAAGACAGTGGGGCTGAGAAGGTGGGGAGAGGAGGGGGGCAGGCTGCCAGTTGGTTGCCCTTCAGATTGAATACCTGCTTCGTCATAGATCATCCGAAAGCTGTCAGTGTGATGGTGGCCGAAGAACTGCCCTGCGATGATTCTGTGGTGCTTCTGGATGACCTTCAGGTACTTCTCATTGAAGTCCTCCCGGAACCATGCCTTGTTGGGCTTCTTCTCAAAGAACCCTGGGGGCACGTGGCCAATGATATACACCTACAAGAGAGGGTGGCCCCAAGGGGCTCAGAGATACCCTCTCCAGCCCCTCCCTTCTCCCTCTTAAAACCTACCCATCTCCCCAAAAGCAGGTGGACAAGCTCCTGTGTGTCCCCTCCCCGAGGTTCTCCCCCTTCCACCTCCCAGGCAGACTCAGGAATCCTCTGTACCCAGCAGTAAATGTGCCAAAAGTCTCCCAGCTCTTCACCTTTGTCTGTGCTCTGCCATGAAGTATTCCCCCCTTGTGTGCCATTCTCATTTTCACTTCTGTAAAACCTACTCATACTTCAAAACCTAGCTCAAAGAACACCTCCTCCATGAAGCCTTCCTGATGCTTCAAAACGTAGTCCTCTCATCTTGGAGAGCTTGACTGCTGCACTGAAGCATGGTTGTGTGGCATGCACCCTGTTACTGTGTATTCATGTCTTACATTCTTTAAGTTACTTAGCTAACCACACCTGGGCACTTGGCTACCATTGCAGGAGGTAGAACAGCAGCAGGGTTAAGAGGATGAGCTTTGGGGTCACAGTGCAGCTTAGACACCAGTTGTGTTGCCTCTCTGAACTTTCTCCTCTGAAATGGCACCTAACTGCTGGAGTTTTGTTGTTGTTGTTGTTGTCGTTGCAGTTTTGGCCAGGGCCAGGTTCAAAGCTGCCACCCTCAGTATATGGGACTGGTGCCCTACTCCCTGAGCTACAGGCACTGCCCTAACTGCTGGAGTTTTGAAAGCTGCCTATGATCATCCATGTAAAGCTCTGAGCAGTGCGCCCAATGTTGGCACAGTGAGGGCACAGGCACCGGCCATGAGATCTGCCTGGGGCACGCTGGTCAGTGCACACTGGTCAGGCCAGTCTTGAGAACACACCTAGATGGACACACCTCCATGGGCTACAGCTGTGCGTGTGGTGACAGTGGAGAGAGCCCTGGACTTGGATTCTGGAGACTCTGGCACTCCCTATGGCCCTCAGGGTCCGCATTTGTGATGGGCTTCTGGATCCAAGCTCAGAGGGCTGCTGTGCGGATGGAAGAAACCCCCACCCCAGTGCCAGGCTGATAAAGGATGTGATACAGGAATTTCAGAGTGGGGCGGGTGAGTTTGTCCCAAATGGGAGACCTGTTTAGGAAGTAACCCAGAGAAGGAGGAGAAAGAAGCAGGACCCCTTACCCTTTCCCCAGCTCGGGATGCATTGGTCAGCACATCTTCTAGCCACTGGAACTGCTGGCTGGGATCAGCCATGCCTGCCGTCTGCTCATTGCTGCTGTAGTACAGATTGGTGTTGAGGACCACAATTCGTCCCGCCAAGTTGGCCGGCAACTTCTCAGTATAGAAGGCACCTAAGATGCCACAGCCAGGGAGAATGGAAGTGGTCTTCCACCTCTGGCCACACACACCTCTGCCCCTCCCATCCCACTGTCTCACTTTGTCCTTCCCTTGGATCCTCCTGTCCCATCTGTACCATAGGAAGCCATCTAGCAGTGAGACCAAAGGCTCAGGAGCCAGGCTCCCTGGGTTCAAATCCTGGCTCTATCACTCATTCACTGTGCAATTTGGAAAAATTAGTTTACCTCTCTATATCTTAGTTTCCTTATCTGTATATGGGAATAATAAGGATGTGTGGGAGAGGCACCTGTGGCTCAAAGAGTAGGGAGCTGGCCCCATATACTGGAGGTGGTGGGTTCAAACCCAGCCCTGGTCAAAAAAAAAAAAAAAATACTGCAAAAAAAATAAGGATGCATGTTTGCCCATCCAGATCCGCCAGCGACCTTTCCCTGCTCAGCCTTCTGCCCCAGGAGCCAATCTATGTGGACTAACTCAATAGGATTCTGGGCCACAGGCTTCCAGTTGGGTTTGACCAATGGGGAGTCACAGCAGCAGGAGACTGAGGAAAGGCAAGGGAGTAGGGACTAGTGGTTCTCAACTCGGTGATTTTGTCCCCCAGGGAACATCTATCAATGTCTGAGATATTTTATGTCGCCACAGCTGTGGGTGTTACTGGCATCAGTTGGGTAGAGGCCAGGGATGTTGCTAAACGCCCTGCAGTGCCCACGACGGTCCTCCATGATAAAGACTTACCAACCCACAGTGTCAGGTGTGGCAAGGTTCAAACCCTGCTGGGAGTGAAGATCACTGCTCCTTCCCAGGGTGGGGTTTAGTACCATGCTGAGCATGGCATCTGGCACAGTAAATGCTCAGTATTTACTGACTTAGCATCTTCATGGGTGCTGTGGTATTTAGAGCACAGGCTTTGGAATCCTGGATTCTGCTCCCAGGCCTGCCTTTTCTAAGCTACATGATCTGGACCAAGTGACTTGGTATCTTTAAGCCTCAATCTCCTTCTTTGTGAAACAGAGATAAAATCAGTACCTATTTTGAGGAGTTGTTGTGAAGACAAAATTAGGACTGGGCACAGTGGCTCATGCCTGTAATCCTAGTACTCTGGGAGGCCAAAGTGAGAGGATTGCTTGAGTTCAGGTGTTTGAGACCAGCCTGAGCAAGAGTGAGACCTCGTGTTCATTAAAAACAGAAAAACTAACTGGCTATTGTGGCAGGTACCTGTAGTAGTCCCAGCTAATTGGGAGGCTGAGGCAAGAAGATTGCTCAAGCACGAGAGTTTAAGGTTGCTGTGAGCTATGATGCCAGGGCACTCTACCCAAGGTGACAGAGGAGACGCTGTCTCCAAAAACAAAAAAAGACAAACTTAGATCAGTCCAAGGCCAGGCACCCTAGCTCATGCTTGTAATCCCAGCACTCTGGGAGGCTGAGGCAGGCAGATCACCTGAGCTCACAGGTTTCAGACCAGCCTGAGCTGAAGCTAGACCCCGCTCCTGAAAATAGCCGGGCACTGTGGTGGGCGCCTGTAATCCCAGCTACTTGGGAGGCTGAGGCAAGAGAATCACTTGAACCCAAGAGTTTGAGATTGTGTGAGCTATGACAGCACAGCACTCTACTGGAGGCAACAAAGTGAGATTCTGTCTCAAAAAAAAAAAAAAATTAGATCATTCCCTTGCATATAGCGCACGCTCCTTATAGTAGCAAATGGTCTTAGTACCTTGTTTGAAGAGATCGAAGGATTCCTTACTAAGCCAGGGTCTCCACAGTTCTGCTACCCGATCGTAGATGCTGTTTTTCCCTGCTGGGAACTGGTTTTTGGGGTGAAAGTCATGATTTCCCAAAGCAGCATAGACTTTAGTGTCTGGAAGGAAAAAGAGAAATATAAAAATATATATGCAAAAGCACTGGTGGGATTAGTCATTTCCAGTTGGCCACCAGCCATCAGACCTGATGGGGAAGAGTGATAGCGCAGATGAGAAAAATACAAAGATAAGCAGAAAACCGCATTTGATAGAATCTGGCTGAACTCTGCTCAGACCTGGGAAGGAAGAGGAGAGTTCTCTGACCCCAAGCTCCTAATCATATTCCCAGCAGCAGATTGCCTGGCCAGAAAGGAGACAGTTTAGGATGAGAACAGAGAAACTAGACAGTCGATCTAATCCAGGTCTTTATTAGCCTCTTGGTAATTTGGTTCCCAGTCCTTGTCAATTTCAGATCCATCTTACTGCTAGAGAAAGAATCTGGCTCACTCGAGGAGGCCTCAGGAGTTTCATGCAGTCAGCAGATAGGTGCTGATGCTCAGAGCAGGGACCCAGCCTTCTAGTCCCAGAGGCCTTTCGGTGCAGAAGGATTGACAGGCATTAAGTAACTAGAGGTATGAGGGCTCTCAGGTAAAGGGAAGGGCCACTTGCTGTGGATGTGGTAACAGAGGACAGGAGCAGGGGTTGGGGAAGCCTCCCTAAGGAAGTGGCCTGCTCCCAGCTACTCGGGAAGCTAAGGCAAGGGGATCTCCTGAGCCCATGAGTTTGAGGTTGCTGTGAACTATAGGCCATGGCACTCTAGCCAGGGCACAGATTAATTTATCTGTTAATTAATTAATTTAAAACCCTATTCTCCCTATAATATCCCTTAGAGTTGCTGCCTCACTTACTCCCAGTCCCCACCTGTTCTGCCAGCCCCAACAGACTTCCCCAGAAATGATACCTGTAGGCCACTGTAAACACTTTGAGAAGGTTTATGAGTCGCTATTAAACAGGCAGGGACAGAGAGCAGTGGAGTGCAGGCATTCCCTGTGACGGAATTCTGTGTGTCCACAGGCACACAAGCTTGCACGCTGCTGGTGGGGTTGCTGGGAGGGTAAGAAATGATCACTATGAAGGTATGAAGGACCTGGCACAGGACCCAAAAGCCATTGTCAGTGGATAAAGGTCTTTACACCTGCTCCTGGTGTCCTCATATGTCAGCCACTACCTGTAGTACAAGGAATGCGGGGTGGGGCGATGGCAGAGTCTTACTTGGAAAGAACTTTCTGGTGAGGTTGGTCAGAAGTTCTATAATCTCCAGTACAGCTGCCTCTCCCAGACTCTCATCAGGCACATGAGGTGTGTCATCCCTGTAAAACACCACCAAGCCAATTGGGGGTGAGCTCAGGAAGGGACAAAAGAAAGGGACAGGAAGCTCTGTAGTGAAAAGAAAATCTATGGGAATGGGCCTCAGATCTCCACTGAAAAGGAAATGGCCAGACTGGAGTGGAGTCAGGACAGAGTGCAAACCCTGGATTTGCCATTTACCTCCTGTGTGTCCTTGGACTGATTGTTTAACCTGTTTGAGCCTCTATTAGCTCATTTGTAAAATTAGGATACGATACCTACTCATAAAGTATTTATGAGACTTCAATCCAGGGGAGAAATTATAAATATAAAATTATATATAGCTTGCTAGTTGTAGTTAATATTATTATTTAGGGGCTCAGCGCCCATAGCACAGTGGTTATGGTGCTGGCCACATACATCGAGGCTGGCGGGTTCGAGCCTGGCCCTGCTAAACAACAAACTGCAAACAAATATGGCTGGGCGTTGTGGCGGGCACCTATAGCCCCAGCTACTTGGGAGGCTGAGGCAAGAGAATCACTTAAGGCCAAGAATTTGAGGATGCTGTGAGCTATGATGCCATGGCACTCTACCGAGGGCAATGTAATGAGACTCTGTCTCAAAAAAAAAAAAAAACAAAAAAAAAACACAAAGACAAAAACAATTATTATTTAGGAAGGGAAGCTCTGAAGTTCTAGTCCCATCTGCAAGTTCCCAGGGAGCTCAGGGTGGAGAAGCCATCTCTGTCTTACAGAAAACACATCCAAAAAAAAAAAGAGAAACATATTCAGTTTCTACTGGTTATCCTCCAAGGGCTTGCAGCTGTCTCAGAAAAGTCATATTTTTTTTTTATAATTGAAGAATTATAAAAGGTCCTGGAGATCATCTGGTCCAATGCCATACACCTCTGCAAGATCCCAGAGGTTTCTCAGAAAAAATTCTACATCTGTTAAAGGGTGATGAATTTTCCAAAGCCTTTCCCAGAGGGATCATGTCTTTCGGTATGATACACGTTCTCCCCTCCTCAAAGAAATCAGAGCCTCCTACAGCAAGACCCACTGAGGGATCAGGAGTCCAAGGTCATCAAGTTCACTCTTTTCTTAGATTGATGCCTGAACCCAAGAAAGCCAGGGCTGTCTAGGACCCTCCTGAGACAATGTCACATTTCTTTCTTTCTTTCTTTTTTTTTTTGAGACAGTCTCACTATCTCGCCTGTGGTAGTGTTGTGGCATCATAGCTCACAACAATCTCAAACTCTTGGGCTTAAGCAATTCTCTTGCCTCAGCTTCCCAAGTAGTTGGAACTACAGGCACCTGTCACAACGCCCGGTTAAATGTCACATGTCTTAAGTGTCCAGCCTCCTAACCACAGATTCATGTGAGGGTCATTCTTGGTCACTCCCATGTCACATAGTGGGGGACATCTGGGGCCTTGTAGCTTTTATTCTGCATTATATAAGTGTCTGGTGAGGCTTGCAGAGGGAGCCAGGGAGTCAGAGCCCCTTCTAGCCTTGCCCCAGCTCCCCTGCTCCACTACTTCCTGTAGTAAATCCTCCTCAATCTTGCCAGATGGGGTCAGGGGCCCTGTAAAGCTCCCACCTCACCCCGTTGACCCACCCTCCTCATTGAGATGTATCGATCAGTGAGCATCACCAGCAAGACTGTGAACTTCTTGAAGGTGAGTCTGGGTCTCCATCGTCTCAGTTTCCCAATGTCTACCCCAAGGCTGAACACACAACAAGCTCCAAGTGACAGAGTGAGAGGGACCAGGGGAACCTCAAGTGAGTGACAAGGAAGGCAAGTTCCCAGGAAAGCTGACAGACTTAGGGCAGCATCCTGAGAGGAGAAGCAGAAACTGAACCTCTGTGGCTGAGTGGAGTCGCCCCTCCAGCTGTCCCATGCAGAGCCATGCTCTGACCAGTGAGCACTCGCCAGGGCCACTGGGCAGCCCAGGGGTGGCTGACCAGGACACTTGGCCCCAATGCTGAACCACTTTCAGCCCTAGTACCTTATTCCCTTTCTGCATTTAGATCTCTCTGGCTCAGAGTCCCTAAACCCCAGGGGCATAGCTCCAGTATCCACCCCAGTTTAAAACCCAGGAGCTGCCAGTGTGCCCAGACATGCCACAACCACGTCCCTAGCCTCAGTGAGAGCTGTGTTCTACCAAAGCTGGAAGACACAGAAGTTGAGGACACAGGCTTTGAAATCAGCCAGATGCAGGGACCCTTGGGCAAGTTGAAGGTTCATCATCTCTACAATGGGGCTAATACAGGGTTAAAGCAAGTGAAGTGCCAGGCTGGCATGTGTCACACAGCAGGTGCCAGGTGAGGGGTAGTGGCTGCCATGACTGCTCACCCGGTCCAGAGAATAAAGTCTGGGTTCGGCTCATTCATCTTCATGGCGTAGAAGGCTGAGACGATGAGACGCCAGGGAGAATCACAGAGGTAGTCACCCCAGTGGCCTGCGTTGGGCACAGGCCGGGAGCCAGCTGAGGGGCACACCTGGAGGGAGTGTTCAGATTCATTGTAGTCAAGGTCTAGGTGCAGGTCAGAGATGTGCCAGAACTTCCCTGTGGAGGAAGAGAGACTCTCCGTCAGTGCTGGATGTGGAGGCAGTCTGGTGGGGGACGGGCATTCCACAGGAAAAGGGACGCCTCCTCAGGGCACCCAGAGAAGAAGGGCCCACAGGTCTGGCTCTACCCAGGGCGGCACTGAGCAGAGCAGAGAACAGGCTCAGCTCCTTCCCTGACCTATGATCTTGGGCAAGGCCCTGTTCCTCTCCCACCTCAGATCCACAGCAGTGTGAGGGATCAGGGGATACAATTCTCAAAGGTGTTTCAAGCAGGGGGCTTTTTTTTTTTTGAGAAAGAGTCTAAAGCTGTCACCCCGGGTAGAGTGCACTTGTCATTCTTGCTTAGCAGGCCCAGGCTGGGCTCGAACCTGCCACCTTAGGTTTATGTGGCCAGTGCCCGGCTGACTAAGCTACCGGCGCCTCCTGAGAGGGGGGTTGTTTTACTTTTTTATTTTATTTTATTTTTTTACAGTTTTTGGCCAGGGCTAGGTTTGAACCCGCCACCTCCGGCGTATGGGGCCAGCGCCCTACTCCTTTGAGCCACAGGCGCTGCCCAGAGTGTCTTGTTTTAAAGCAAAGGCAAAAGAGGATAAGAGCTAAGCGCTGGAACCACGTATGAACTATGTGACCTTGGGCAAGCTATATCACTTCTCTGAGCTCATAACTAGAGCCAAATCCTATCATGTTACAGGGAAACACAGTCACATGGGAAAAACTGACCAGGCGGGAGAAGGCTTACACACCAGATGAGCTGGAGGAGCTTGCTAATTAATACCAGCAAAAACCTGGGAAATGTGTAGAAATGAGTCTAAGCGACCTAGATCAGAAAGAAAAGGGCTGAGTTTCTCCGAGGCCGGGCACCTGCTGGGGATTTTGAATTTAGGTGACAGCTCAGGCAGCTGGGAGTAGTCCTGTTTGATGAAGTTGTTGACTCAAACTTTCACTCAATTCTGAATCAAATGAGGGTGAAATGCCATAAACCTCTTGGTCTGATAATAGGGGAAGGATTCTGAAGACATGGGCGAGGTGGAGTGGATTTGCCAGGCATGCACAGTGTAGGGCCAGGCACAAGCAGTTTCAATGACTGCTTATTAGAGGAGGGTTGCACAGGTTCGGCCTCTGCCCCAAACCCCGTGTTTCTGGCTAAGACAAGGGTGAGTCCTGGATTTCCTCACTCTCCACTATTGATTGCTCTCACTTCCTCCTCCATTTCCCGTATCACTCAAAGCTGACAGTCAACATCTCTCTTGCCCCAGAAGGCTGAGCCCCCGCCAGGGAAACTGGGCTTGTTGATTTCAGGGTCAGGTAGACGTTGCCCCACCCAAGCCTCAAGCAGATCAGGTGGCTCCAGGACAGGCCCACAGGCAACAGCTGTCCCCAATCCTCACTCTTGGACATTTCCTACCAGATGCTCTACAGCCTTTGCCCACATCTCCTGATCTCTAAATCTGGTCTCAGAAAAGGACCCGGAGCTTGTTCTCACTAAAATGTAAGTGACTGATTAAGCAAATCATCATTCCTCCCATGTGCACTGTACAGTCCTGACCACAGTGCTAGAAGGTATTGACTATCACCTACATTTTACAGATAAAGAAACTAAGTTCAGAAATCTGAGATCCGTGGTAATGGTGGAGGCTCTTTGGCTCCAGACCCTCTCCTAGGAACTGTGATTGTTAAGGGGATAAAACCAGTGCCTTTTTGTTTCAAATGTGTCTTTTTTTTTTTTTTTGAGATAGAGTCTCACACTGTTGCCCCCCAGGCTAGAGTGTCATGGTGTCATAGCTCACAGCAACCTCAGACTCTTCGGCTCAAGTGATCCTCCTGTCTCAGCCTCCCAAGTGGCTGGGATTACAGGTGCCTACCACAACACCCAGCTAGTTTTTCTAGTTTTAGTAGAGACTAGGTCTCTCTTTTGCTCAGGCTGGTTTTGAACTCCTGAGCTCAAGCAATCCACCTGCCTCAGGCTCCCTAAGTCCTAGGATTACAAGTGTGATCCACTACACCCAGCCTCAAACATGTCTTTTTGTTGACAGCCTGTGCTCACTTTTTTATTTTTTTGAGACCACCTCACTCTGCCGTCCTGGGTACAGTGCCATGGCATCATAGCTCACAGCAACCCCAAACTCTTGGGTTCAAGAAATCCTCTTGTCGGCTCGGCGCCTGTGGCTCAAGTGGCTAAGGCGCCAGCCACATACACCTAAGGTAGCGGGTTCAAATCCCCAGCCCGGGCCCACCAAACAACAATGATGGCTGCAACTAAAAAAAAAAAAAAAATGGCCGGGCGTTGTGGCGGGCGCCTGTAGTCCCAGCTACTTGGGAGGCTGAGGCAGGAGACTCGCTTGAGCCCAGGAGTTGGAGGTTGCTGTGAGCTGTGATGCCATGGCACTCTACCCAGGGGGATAGCTCGAGGCTCTGTCTCAAAAATAAAAAATAAAAAAAAAGAAATCCTCTTGTCTCAGCCACCCAAGTAACTGGGACTACAACACCCAGCTAATTTTTCTATTTTTAGTAGAGATGAGGTCTCCCTCTTGCTCAGGCTTGTCTTGAACTCTTCAGCTCAAGCAATCCTCCCACCTCAGCCTCCCAGAGTGCTAGGATTACAGGTGTGACCCACCACACTCAGCCATACATGCTGAGTGCAGAAGTAATACTATCTCAAAAAAAAAAAGTTATTCCTACAGAGATAAAACCCTAAGCCAAAATGAAGGTACTAACTTCCCCTTTCTAGGTAGGGAGGGGGCAGAGCTGGTGGGTTTTCCAGTCCTCTGAGCTGATACTGTGCATAGGTTACACCTGCTCCCAAGCCTGCAGAGAGGGACCTTTGCCCTTTGCCCTCCTTGACCTGCAATCCCCACGCAGCCTCTGAAGACCAGGACAGAAGCTATTGCCTTGCCTCAAGCAGGCCCTTCCTCAATTAACCACAAACATCAAGCCGTTTGGCCCCTTTTACATCAGCTCTCAAAGTCCTCAATGAACATTTCTCCACTTCAGAAATTCACAATTTCTTCATTGTGGGGGGTGGATTCCAGTGACCACATCTGCTGCTCAGCCTGACTCACCAGCCTTGGCGACAGTCATTCTCCCCACAGGGCCCCTTCCAGGGCTATCCCATGGCCTTGCCCAATCTTCCCCACATCATTATGTGGCCGCTTCCTCATCATTGAAGCCAGGCGTCCTCAAACTATGGCCCCGTGAGCCACATGCAGCCTGCCTAGGACATTTATCCGGCCCGCCGGGTGTTTTTGCCGCCACTGCCTGTCCAGCTTAGCAGCCAACTCATCCCAGGGCCTGTAGTCCGGCCCTCCAACGGTCTGAGGGACAGTGAACTGGCCCCCTGTTTAAAAAGTTTGAGGACCCCTGATTTAGGCCTTAGCCCAAAGGTCACCTCCTCAGAGAACCTTTCCCTGATCACCTCATCTCAAGGGCCACCTCCTCCCACCCATCTGATCCTTAGCTATCGCCTGCCCCGGTTTATTTCTTCAGAGCACTCTTGCACAGGAAATTATTTCGTTGGCTTGTTCATCGCCCATCTTCCCTGTCTTGCAGTGTCAGTCCCCTGAGAGCACCAGGCCTGTCCTGCTCATCTGTGTGTCCTCAGTACCTAGAACAGAGACGTGGTAGATGTGCAAATACGTCAATGATCCAGCAAGGCTGTGGAGAATTGTAAATGCTCAAAGGATGAGCTGGGTGCCGGGCCCTTTATCTCGTTTCGTCCTGTAGTCATTTCTGGAAGTAGGGGATTCTTTTGCCCATTTCTTTGTTCTTTTCTTTTTTTATTTTGAGACAGAGCCTCAAGCCGTCACCCTGGGTAGAGTGCCATGACATCACAGTTCACAGCAACCTCCAACTCCTGGGATTAAGCAGTTCTCTTGCCTCAGCCTCCCAAGTAGCTGGGACCACAGGCATCCGCCATAATGCCCAGCTATTTTTTGGTGGTAGTTGTCATTGTTGTTTGGCGGGACTGGGCTGGATTTGAACCCACCAGCTCTGGTGTATGTGGTTGGTGCCTCAGTCGCTTGAGCTCCAGGCGTCGAGCCCTTTTGCCCATTTCACAGATGAGGAAACCAAGGATCAAATGCAGACCTCTCTGACTCCAAAGTTAAGACACAATGTTGTCAAGCCTGTTGACTTGGAACCCCCCAGAAGGGGGCTCCTATAACGTACGTGTTATTCATAAGAAAATGGAAGCAGGCTGTAAGCTAGCTGAGGGAGAGGATCACTTGAGGCCAGAAGTTTGAGATCAGCCTGGGAAAAATAGCCAGACCCCATCTCTACTAAAAATAAAACAATTAGCCGGGCATTGTGGTATGTGCTTGTTGTTCCAGCTCCTTGGGAGGCTGAGGCAGGAGGAACCTAGGAGTTTGAGGCTGCAGTGAGCTCTGATGATACCACTGCGCTTCAGCCTGGCTGACACAGAGAGACCCTGTCTCCAAAACGGAAGGTATAAGCCAGGTGCGGCGGCTCACGCCTGTCATCCTAGCACTCCGGAAGGCCAAGGCAGGTGGATTGCTTGAACTCAGGAGTTCGAGACCAGCCTGAGCAAGAGTGAAACCCAGTCTCTAAAAATAGCTGGGCATTGTGGTGGGTGCCTTTGCTAAAAATAGCTACTCAGGAGGCTGAGGCAAGAGAATCACCTGAGCCCAAGAGTTTGAGGTTTCTGTGAGCTGTGATGCCACTGCACTCTACCCAAGGCAACAAAGTGAGACTCTGTCAATAAAAAAAAGAAGACATAACAACAATTTCATTATCACTATTATTCATTAATTATTGAAAATATAAAAATAAATTTGGTAACAAGTTCAGTGAGTGGTGAAAGGCACAGACCTGGGTGGGAATCCAGCTTTATCACTCGGTAGCTGTGTGAATGGGGCAACTTTACTCTGTAACCATTTCTGCTACAAAATGGGGGTAACAGCACCCCCTGCCTCTTGGGGCCCTTGTGTGGATTAAAGTGAGATAATGTAAGCGCAAGAAATGGGAAGCCGCAGTCCCTATACTCGGTCCGCTGGAGTCCTGCAAGTCCCCCTCTCACCACAGGAGGGCGACAGAGAGGCGGGTCCTCCCAAGGTAAAGTGCAGGGCTAGCAGGACGTTTGAAGCAGAAAAAAGTGAAGACAGATCCCATCTCTCCCTGGATGGCATTCTCTGAGCAGAGAGGGCCAGGGGGCACAGCACATCCCTGGGCAGGCAAAAGGGTTTCCTGTCCTTCCTTCTCCTTCACCAAAGGGGGTCTTCCAGTGACTGGGGACGACAGACACAGGGCCCAAGGCCTAGTAGCTTTGCAAGGCCCATGGAAATGTCTGAGACCTGGGGAAAAAATGCACTGATGGGAGGCGCCTGTGGCTCAAAAGGGTAGGGGTGCTGGCCCCATATGCCAGAGGTGGCGGGTTCAAACCCAGCCCTGCACCCCCCCCAAAAAAGTACTGACTCCCAAAGTACAGGAAAACCACAAACTATCAAAACCAAATAATTCATCATAATCAATAATTCATTTCAAAAGCAATATTACAAATTTCATTAAAATCATAAAAGAGGTGGTGGCTCACACCTGTAATCCTAGCACTCTGGGAGGCTGAGGGGGGAGGATTTCGTGTGCCCAGGAGTTCAAGACCAACCTGAGTGAGAGCAAGACCCTGTCTTTACTAAAAATAGAAAAATTGAGGCAAGAGGCTCGCTTGAGCCCAGGAGTTTGTGGCTGTGCGCTATAACGACGCCATGGCACTCTGTTTAGGGTGACCTAGTGAAACTCTGTCTCAGAAAATAAATAAATAAATAGCACAATATTTAAAATTGACACTAACTTTATGGCCACTCTGGATGCACGCACACACACACACATATATATACATACACACAATTTTTTTTTTTTGAGACAGAGTCTCACTTTGTTGCCCTGGTTAGAGTGCCATGGCGTCACAGCTCATGGCAACCTCAAACTCTTGGGCTTAAGCGATTCTCTTGCCTCTGTTTCCCAAGTAGCTGGGACTACAGGTGCCTATCACAATGCCCGGCTATTTTTTTGTTGCAGTTGTCATTGTTTAGCATGCCCCGACCGGGTTAGAACCTGCCAGCCTTGGTGTATAAGACTGGTGCCCTAACCTCTGAGCTACAGGCACCAACCCTACAAATTTTTTTGAGAGAGGGTCTTGCTATGTTGCCCAGATGGAGCACAGTGCCGGGTGGAGCACAGTGGGCTGATCATAGCTCACTGAAATCTCAAGCTCCTGGGCTCAAGCCATCCTCCTGCCTCAGCCTCCCAAGTTGTTGAGACTATAGGTGTACATCAGTATGCCTGGTTAAGTTTTTGTTTTATATTTTTAGAGATAGGGTCTTGCTATGATGCTTAGGCTTATCTCTAGCTCCTGGCCTCAAGCCATCCTTCCACCTCAGCCTCCCAAGCCATTGGACTTACAGGCAGGAGCCTCCCCGCTCAGCCAACTATCATATTTAATCTCTCCTCTGCTATTATCCCTTTTAATAGATAGTGAAATAGAAGTTCAAGGATACACCAGTGTCCATAGACAGGACCAGAGGCAGGACCTAGATTTAGGGGCTTAAGGCAGTCAGCTGTTTCTGAAAGGACATGCATGAAATTTGGGATCTGGGAAATCTTATTCGGAATCCTGGCTCCTCCACACCCGAGTGGCAACTCAAGCAAGAGACTTCTCCAGCTAAGCCGCAGTTTCCTCATCTGTAAAATGAAGATGTGATGGAGTTAGCTTGGCCAACCTAATGATAACATCTACCTCGGGGGCTGTGTGGGGACAGGGTAATTCATGCAGCAGGCAGAGGGGCCAGTAAATGCTGTTTTACCTCATGAACCCCATGTGGTGGGGTTCTGGGTGGGTGGCTGGGTGGGCAAGGAGCTCCCTCTCAGGGAGGGGGCAGGGTGAATGACCCTTGGACCTGTTTCCTCAAGTGTGAGATGGAAGTATTAAATAAGGATTCTCCGAGGGCCCTCTCAGCTCTAAGCCCCTGAGATCCCGTGACCTGGTCTGTCATTGTTTGTAACCCACACCACAGTGAACCAACCCCCCTTTCAGTCCTTTGCTGTTGCTGCTTGCTCAGCAGTAACCCCGAACTTCAACTGTAACTCCTCTGCAAAGGGAGGCCCCCCAGGCTGCATGAATTATCCTGTCTCCACATAGCCCCCAAGGTAGATGTTATTGGCCAAGCTAACTCCATCTTAGATCTGAAAAAACCATTCTGTGATACTCTGTTACAGGTGGTCACAGGTTTGTCACCTCCTTGCACCTGTCCAGTTACAAACCTGTAAGAAATAGGTTCACACCGCAAGCCTCTGACACCCTGACAAGAAGAACCAGATGGGGAGTCCCAATAAGGAGCTGCATGTCCTTGGCACCCTGATAAAAAAGACCCGTCTGCAAAGCCAGCTGCTCTTCAGCCTGCCAGAAAAAAGAACTGCCTCCCTTCCTAACGCTGCTGACCTCTCTTTAGATTTCAGCCCACTTGTACTCTTTTTGTTGGTTGGTTTTTTTGAGACTGAGTCTCAAGCTGTCGCCCTTGGTAGCATGCCGTGGTGTCATCATAGCTCACAGCAACCTCCAACTCTTGGGCTCAAGCGATCCTCTTGCCTCAGTTTTTGTATTTTTAGTAGAGATTGAGGGGAGGAGTCTTGTACTTGCTCAGGCTGGTCTTGAACCCCTGAGCTCAAGAAATCCACCCGCCTCAGCCTCCCAGCCTCCCAGAGTGCTAGGATTTGTAATGGGAGCCACCACACCTGGCCAGATGTTATGCTTTATGATGATAATCCCTATGTTCTGTTTAGGTTTCTGACTAACTAGAAAAACTAAACTTTAAGGGTTAAGATTTAGTCTTGATGCCCATAGCACAGTGGTTACGGGGCTGGCCACATGCACTGAGGCTAGTGGTTCGAATCTAGCCTGGGCTGGCTAGACAACAATGACAACTGCAACAAAAAATGTCCAGGTGTTGTGGTGGGCACCTGTAGTCCCAGCTACTTGGGAGGCTGAGGCAAGAGAATTGCTTAAACCCGAGAGTTTGAGGTTGCTGTGAGCTGTG